GGGGGGGGGGGGGGAAGAACATCGCTAGAGCTACCACCACAAATCAATGCGCGTATACGCATACCGACAGAGCTAGACATTAGAGTCTAGTGGGTTCAATCAACAAAGGATCAGCGTACAATACGATAGATACTCAAGGCCAATCGTACAACGCATACATGCGTTTTCGTGCCGTGTGTAGAAAAACGCCTCATCACAAAACAATAATAACATCCGGGGCAATACAAAGTTCGAACAAAAAAAATTACGCCCCCCCCCCTTCCTCCTCCGCGAGCCACCTCTCGCAGTCTATCGCCGCCTGGCACCCCATCCCCGCTGCGCTTATCGCCTGCCGGTAACGACGGTCCACCACGTCCCCGCACGCAAACACGCCTTCGACGCTGGTCATGGTGTGCTGCTTGTGCACCACGAAGCCGTCCCCGTCTAGCTCTACCACGCTACTACTCTCCTCCGCGGCTGATCGTCTACCATCGCTGCTGCTGCTGCTGTTGCTGCTGTGTAAAAACTTTGTCATCGGCTTGTGGCCTATGGCTAGGAATGCCCCGCTGCACGGCAGGAGTTCCGCCGCGTCTTGCCCTCGCGGGTCTTCTAGCTCGGCTCCGGAGAGATCGCCTCCTTCGGAAACCCACCTGCGATATGTGACAACATCGGGATAAAAAACAGTCGGGGCGAGGAATCTCACGTCTCTCTCTGTCTTTGTCCCTCTGTCAGCCATACCAGTCTGTCCGTCTGTCGCCCTCTCCCTCCTCTCTTTCTCTATTCCGCCCGCCCCCGTCTCTCTCTCTCTCTCTCTCTCTCTCTCTCTCTCTCTCTCTTTCTGCGTGTGTCTGTGTGTCTGTCTCCTAGCCCAGGGCAGGTTGGTGCTTACCAGTTACACAAGAGGTCGAAAAGTCCTTGGGATTTTGTACGAACAACAGACAATACCCCACCCACACCTTTCGCGTCTGAGAACATTCGAACCGAATGTATACACACACAAAGGCGATGACACAAGACACAAACATGGCATGGTACAGACAAGGTCTTGCGGGGTGGGACAGCGTTTTATCCGCGAACCACCCGAACAGCCGCGAGATAACGCACAAGGCCCAAGTTTTCACGACGTACTCAGCAGAGCGGGTGGGGACACACGTGGTGTAGTATAAGGTCGCCATGTCGCCAAGGAAGACTGGGTGCCGCGACAAAATTAGGTTCCTCGACCCTGCTGTCTCTACAACCACATGTTCGTGCCGCGCTGAGGTTGTTTCGTGGCCGCACGGTCTTGTAGTGGGGGAGACCGTCTTCGATACACAAACGCAACGCCACAGAGAGCGCGCACGCAGTCAACACATTTCAAAACAACCGTTGACAGCGGCTGCAACACCCCCCCAACAATAAAAAAAAACAAAACAACAGCAGCGACGAAGAACGGCAGCTATAACAACAACCAGCGCAACAACGATCGTAATAACCAACATACATCAACAGGAGGGAAAATGAAAGCACAAAACAACGCAGCAAACAATACAGCAAGTGGGCCTCACTTCTTGACCGTACGGTGCAGCTTGAGATGAATCTTGGGGTTTTCCTTCACTCGCTCCAGCATGATCCTACTAGACCGAAAGCCGTCCCTTCGGTGCACAATGGTTACCTAGCGGAACCGTGGGCGGGGATGGGGCGGGGGGGGTTGTGTTGCTGTTGGCGGATGTTGTTGTATCACTGTTGATGACCTTATTGATAATGATGACCGTCCTCTGGCCTCGTGTTGCACCCAAGACCGGCAAAAAACACACACACAACCGCAGAGTCCGGTACATGGGTGTCCTTGTACAAAAATGTATACACGTAACGGACACGCTTCTGATTCATAGTCGAAGCGTCCAGGGAGAACAAAGAAAAAGGGGTTTGATTGATTGACATGACACGCTCGCTCCTTGTGTCACCCAGAACATCCCGCAGGGACAAAAAAAGGCGTTCTAGGAAATACCGCACGTGCTTGTGAATCTTGACAAACTGATACAACAGGAGCATGCCGGCTTAGCCGTGGCTAGCGACAAGAGAAAAACTTTGTTTGTTGCATCCCCTCCCTCGGCGGCACGCACACACACAAAAAGACAAAAAAACAGAAAAAAAAGGAGGGCTTCTTTCACAACAAACCTTCGAGGCGAACTTAGTCAGGAACAGAGCTTCTTCCATCGCGCTATCGCCCCCGCCTACAACCGCAACCTGTATTTTCGACGCAACGAACAAAGCAAGAGGGTGAGTACGAACGCTTTGAGTCATGTATCAAAGCAGATGTGTAGAAAAATAAAACGATTTCATGTGAGCAGCGAAGCGTTATTCTCGACTATCCGAAGCTGAAAACACAAGAAGATAAGGGATAACGTGACGAGGGGGGAGGCGGCGAGCGAGGAGCACACGCGGCACGGAAAGCGCAACAAACCACGTGAAACTGTGGGAATGAGGGGGAGACAGAAGCACGCCTCCGCGGAGAGATGAGGAAGGAGAGAAGGAAAAATAAAACCTCAGGGAGACGGGGAGAGGGGAGTTGTTATTGGCGGCGAGACGGAGGCAAGGAGAAAGAGGACGCATGATAATGCTGACAACCAGAAGAGGCAAAGAGACAACGGACGGAGCGTTGGGTAACCAAATAACACATACACCGACGGGGGAACGAGGACAGGGAGTGATGGAGACCAACAGAGAGAAAGAGGCAAAATACGAGATAGATAGATAGATAGATAGATAGATAGATAGAGAGAGAGAGAGAAAGAGAGAGAGAGAGAGAGAGAGAGAGAGAGAGAGAGAG